ATTTATACGTTACTTATAAAATTGTTTCAAATAATTTCAATTAGTTTTTGAGTTACTAAAAATAAAAATAATATATGTGTCTACTTCCAATCAATTTTTTGTTACATAATTATTTTAAAACTAGTTCAAACATGTTATATTGAGTGCTAAATAATTAATTTTTGCTCTTGTTTCATGTTTTAATAGCAGGTAAACAAGAGTAATCTATTAATAAAATGGTCCTGGCTGTGTATGAATCTTAATAGTAAATGCAAGCGGACAAAAATTTACATGAGTACCTACCACCTGTCATTAAACATTTGGAACTTTTGAGTCATTTGCTGAGATGCTATTCATTTCAAAAATAAAAAATATATTGAAATCCGGTCATAAAAATATAGGATTTCTTCCAAAATAGGATCTTTTCCTAAACCTTTTAAATATTTTTTGCTCAGGTAATATATAAAGTTTTGAAAATTTTTAGAATAAATAAAAATAGAGGCAAAATTTGTATACAAAATATGTATTGTAAAATTATTATTATTAAAATATTTAATTGTATTTTAGATATTATTTTCTAATTCCCTTTTCAAATTTTTTTTTACTATGTACTCATGTCAATATTTAATAATTATCCTTTCATTAATTATATTTTCAACTTAACACTCAAGTTACTTCCCATATCTTTAGTTAACTTACCTAAAAAGCTGTTCACTTAGAAATAATAATCTGCTTTCAGTACCATATAAAACCTTGAAGGCGAAGGTTGTGCTTGTTGTTTTTCCGCTTTTTATATTAATATTAATATGCTTAATTGATTTTTTAAATATATTTTTGGAATTTTACCTGCTTTGTAATAAGTGTGAATTCATTTTAATACTTCTTCTCAAAGAATAGTTACTTCGATTTAAAAAAAACCCATATAAAAGAAGGTCGTGCTTTCAAGTTTCTCTCTTAGCATTGGGACTTCTTAGAATTAAAAACATTACCTTATTCTATAAACACAAATACAAAAATATTAACATGACTTATAGGCGTTTATGGTGCAGGTAATGTCTTTATATCTAACAAGTCCCAATACTCAATTTTTTTCTTTAAATGCCACTGATCGTGTCATATTTCTTATTTTTTTTTTCTTTTCTTTATGTAAAAATGAATTTATTTCAAAAAAAATCTTAGGATATTATACACATGTTTTAAAAAGCTCCCATTTAAATTGGAGGTAAAATTTAGAGGTAAAATTTAGAAGTATATATATATGTTATATATATACAAATATATACCATCATTTTTTACCTTATAGTAGAACACGCAGATCCTTTCAAACTCGTTTTATTTTGTATTCCGATAGCTTGCAGTTAATCCGAATTGCATTTGCCACTGCATTATTGGTTAGATTTTTATTAAGCTTTATTAATTGTATCTTTATTAATTGTTTGCAATGGGATAGGTTACTCATCTTTTACTTTTGCTTAAAGATGTCTTTGGTGTAAAAAATATGAAGAATATTGTTAGAATTTTGAAATGAGAACTTGATAATACAATTGAACTGAACTTTAAGCTCGATATAAATTTCATGTAAAATATGTAGAAATGATTTTAGGCAAACTGTTAAGCAATCTTATTTATATTAGAAAAGGCGCTGCAGCTTGTAGCGTATGCTTACTGTTTCTATAAAATGCTTTCAGAAATATATGATTTTTATTATATGTGAAATTAAAAGCATGAAAAGAAAGTATATGCATACCGTTTTCAAAATTTGTATTTAGAGCTTAGACATAACCTCAATATTGTTATTTTAAAACAGCTTTGCAATATCAAAATTAATTCTTTGATATTTCTAAGACTGAAATAAATGCAATATCGGAAATCAAGTCTATATAAAAATTACTATGAAAAATAATATATATATAAATATTTGTCAATTATGTGACTTAAAAATGCAATAAAGCCAAAAAATATATTTTTTTTCAACTCCTTATCCTTTAATATGTTACTTATATTGCAATTACTTAGTTTTTTACTTTCAAATATTAGCAAATGACATTACTCGAAAATAAAGTTTATTGCGGAAATTACATAAGGTAATGTCTTTATATCTAACAAGTCCCAATGCTCAGAGAGAAACTTGAAAGCACACCTTATTTTATATGGCCTTTTTTAAATCGAAGTGGCTATTTTTTGAGAAGAAATATTAAAATAAATTCACACTTATTATAAAGCAGGTAAAATTTAGAACATATATTTGAAAAATCAAAAAAATATATTAATATTTTCATTGATAATTATTTTAAAATTTAAAAAAAAACGGAAAAACAACAAACACAACCTTCGCCTTCAACGTTTTATTTGTTACTGAAAGCATTTCATTATTTTTAAGTGAACAGCTTTTTTTTCTCATAGGGTAAGTTAACGCAGGATATGGGAAGTACCTGTGGTGTCAAGTTGAAAATATAATTAATGAAAGATAATTCTTAAATATTGATATAAATACATAGTAAAGAAAAAATTTGAAGAGGGAATTAGAAAATAATATCTAAAATACAATCAAATATTATTTGTTAAATACAAATTTTATATAAACTTCAAAATTTTACCTCTGTTTTTATTTGAAAAAATATTAAAAACTTACTATCATTTATATCAATTACCTAAGAAAAAAAAATATTTAAAATGTTTGGAAAAAACAATCATATATTTTTATGACCGGATTTGAATATTTTTCTATTTTTGAAATAAATGGTATTTTACCAAATGACTCGAAAATTCCGACTGTAAAATAACAGGTATTTTAAAATTTTTGTTCAGGTATTTTAAAATTCTTTCCGTTTAGAATTAAGATAGGTCATACATACACATGCAGGGACATTTTATAAATAGATTGCTCTTGTTTACCTGCTAATAAAATATGAAAAAAAGCACAACAAAATTTTTGAAGCACTCAATATAACATGTTTGAAATAGTTTTAAAATAATTATTTAAAAAAAAATTTATTGGAAGTAGGTACGTACATATTTACTTTTAATAATTTAAAAACTAACTGAAATTATTTGAAACAATTTTATAAGTAACGTATGAATAATCGAAATGAGATAATTCAAATTGTTGAAATGTGTCAACCTATATTACTTTTAATAACATTTTTGTTAGCCGACACTACTCAACTTACCTTATTGGGAAATACAAAATGTGCATAAAAAATCATACATCCTTCCTCATTAACATTTGAAACCATACTGAAATATGAATTTGAATTTTTTTTTCATTTTTTCTTTCCTCCTACCTTTCTTTCTTTTTCGTGCAATAGAATTTAAATGGGAAGCTTTTTAAAAAATGTGTATAATATCCTGAGATTTTTTAAAATATTAATCTCTTTTTTACGTAAAAAAAAAGAAAAAAATAATAAAAACGAGAAAAAAATAGAGTTGACCTTGTCAACTCTGTGATACCCGTACGAATTTGTTATCCTATGTGCGAATAACTAATGTGCCATAACTAACTATGGGGCAGACTATGACTTTAAGTTGCCGTATTACCATATTAATTTATGCAAAATTTCAGTACTATATGTTATTCAAAATACTGGTTGTGCCAAACTACTATTGATGTTGTATGGCAGCTACCAGAAAGAGCCAAGAAATTTTAGCGAATTTTATCAGGCACATCGGCCCTACTAATATATTCACTTGTGTGAAATCTCAATATCACAGCTTTTATAGTTTCTGAGATATAGTCAAATAACTTTTGAAGTTGTATGGCAGGTACCAGAAGGAGCCAAGTAATTTCAACGACTTTTATGAGACACATTGGCCTTACTAATATATTCGTTTGTGTGAAATTTCAATACCATAGCTTTAATAGTTTCTCAAATATAGTCAAATAACTTTTGAAGTTGTATGGCAGGTACCAGAAGGAGCCAAGTAATTTCAACGACTTTTACGAGACACATCGGCCCTACTAATATATTCACTTGTGTGTAATCTCAATATCACAGCTTTTATAGTTTCTGAGATATAGCCAAATAACTTTTGAAGTTGTATGGCAGCTACCAGAAGGAGCCAAGTAATTTCAACGACTTTTATGTGACACATTGGCCCTACAAATATATTCGTTTGTGTGAAATTTCAATACCATAACTTTTATAGTTTCTGAGATATAGCCAAATAAATTTTGAAGTTGTATGGCAGCTACCCGAACCGGTACCCCGATCATGTCCAATTTAAATAGGGTTCTGGCACTTACTACAATAAGTCATTTGTGAAAATTTGGTGAACTTAGCTCAATTAGTTTTTGAGTTATCGTTCGGACGGACGGACGGACGGACGGACGGACAGACAAAGCTAAATCAACTCAGAATTTGACGCTGATCAAAAACATACACTTGAGTCTATATCTAACACCGTTATTTCTTAGCGTTACAAACGGTAAGGCAAATTTAGTATACCCTTCGAACATACGTTCGTACGGGTATAAATATAACACGATCAGTGGCATTTAAAGAAAAAACCAACAACGAGGCCAAAAATTCGTAACATTTCGTAAACAAAATTGAGTATTGGGACTTGTTAGATATAAAGACATTACATAAGGTATTACGAGAAGAGTAACCGGTGACTTTTTACTAAGAGCATAACTATTTACATAATGAGAAAACATATAAATTATTTATTATAATTATATAAATAATAAATATATAAATTATTTTGATCTTATTATTTTGATTTTTTGTTTATCTCGTAATTGATATTAACTGTTTAAATTTTACTTTTTGCATGCACATAAAATTCTTGTTAGCCTCTATTTCTCAAAATAGATGGAAATTTTCGTGAAACTTCGACACAAGATTTAACGTAACGAAACTTTTTTCATATTTAGTTTCAGGAGAAGCCAGAAATTTATTTACAATTAACAGTTGATTGACAAATACTTTTGAGATATTTAGAAAATTATGCCTCGTTTATATTTTTTTATATTATTCGTTTATATTATTTTTACTTCTATTTTTCTTTTTTTTGGAAAGGATGTCCAAGCTGCCCGAATTTTTGCAGATGAAGCAGCTAATATTTTAGAAAGGGCGATCAGTGGGGTTTTAAGCAGGAATGCGTTATTATATTTTGCTTATGCTGATTTTGAAGAGGGTCGTCTAAAATATGACAAAGTTCATCAAATGTACAACAAATTTCTATCGATATTAGACATTGATCCTACATTAGTAAATATAAAATTATAATATTTCACGAACACATTTTTAAAGAATTCCTTTAATTTAAGGCATATGTGCAATATATGAAGTTTGCTAGAAGAGCTGAAGGTATAAAGTCCGCAAGAGCTATATTTAAAAAAGCAAGGGAGGACATTCGATCACGTTACCATGTTTTTGTTGCAGCTGCGTTAATGGTAAATATAATATTATATATGAAGATCGTAGAATCGAATATATATATAATTGCAAAATTAAAAAAAAAACTGTAATACGGTCATATTTCCCTTGTGAAAATATACATATTCCTGTCATAAACTGTTGCTAAACTCATTTCTTTCATTAAAAAAGAACAGATTAAACAAGTAAAAACATTTCAGTCTGTCTAAATCAACTGAATTGTACCTTGTACTTAGGAGAGTCTGTATGAGGCCTTGTTTTGGAAATATTTAGAATTAGCTTTTACGGTTGTATGTCAGTTACTCGAATCTGTCAATAAAATATAAAAACTTTGATAAAAATTTTGAGAATATATCTGGACTATAATTTGACACGCGTCTATCAAATTTCATTCATTATTATTTTTCTCAATATTTGAAATTAGCTTTAGGTGTTGTGTGGCAGCTACCAGAACAATTCAAACCATTTCATAAAAACTTCGAGAATATTTCAGCTAATCCAGCTTTATTATATTTTATTATTATAAAATTAGGTTTTGATGTTTTATGGCAACTACCCGAACCAGTGCAGCATTCATTGAAGTCGCTAGAGCACGTGTAAAATAAAATTGGACACACGTATACAAAATTTCATATTTATGTCTTTATTAGCTCTTCAGATATTTAAAATAAACTCTTTATGTTGTATGTCATCTACCCGAACACGTTGTCCCAATTGGTATATTAAGAATAGGGTCCGTTTTTGACACAAAAGAAGCTGGTCGTTTGTGAAAATTTGGTCGTATTTGCTTCATTCGTTTTTAAGTTATCATGCGATCGGGCTGATGTACGGACATGTCTAAATCAACGCAGAATGTTACGCTGAACAAAATTATATACACATGTCCGTATCGGAAACGACTCCTTTAAGTGGTTGCAAATTCCATACCAAAGTTATTGTACCCTTCACGAAGGTGCAGGATTTGAAAATCATAGTGAAATCAAAATCTTACATTTGTCTACAAATAAATATATCAAAACCTTTATTTGTAATACAAAATTTTTTTTTGTAAAAAATCTCCCATGTTTGGCTTTTTGCTGTAGTATTAGCAACCGTAAAATGTTGATTTGAAATACATTATTTGGAGATTTAAAGTTTGACATACATTTTTATCCTGAAACAGTATTAATTGGACAACTCAAATATTTGTGATTGAAGTAAAATTATACTTTATTTTAAACTAAAATTTTTGATAATTAGAAAAATTTCGATACTTTTATGTTTATAGTAAAGTGATTGGAATAAAATGGAATAACTGGATGAATTGTGCAACATTAAAATTAACTCATAACTTAATTGTTTATGAAATTGGAAACTAAATAAACCGTACATCAATACTTAATTTTACTGAGTTTTTAATGTTCTAATAAAAAAAGATACAGAAAGACTTAGCTTAGCAAAAAATAATTTGAACAAACAAACTCAGAAAGAAATAATTTCAATATTAATCAACTTTAGGTAAATTATATTTCTTTATTACAAGGCTTTGATAACTTTACAATATTATCATTTACAAATGCATCCAAAGTAAAATAATAAATAAAAATAAAGATAGATATTTAACATAAATGAAAAAAAACTAGGGCAGGCTCGTCATCTATTAAGTGAAATTGAATGACGCAAGAAGCTGGTTCGTGGTTATTTACGATATCATGCGCAAACTCTATGCTCCTCCTACGAGCGACGTAGGATTAAAAAAGCATGAAACAAAACAAAAATCGCGATTAGTATAAGAATGTGTTTAATATAATTGAATTCCTTGCACTAACCGAAGAATTAAATCTTGAACTTGAACTAAATGAAATCAAAATGAACTTTGTTCTATTTGCGTGCAAGCGTAACGATCTTTCTTAAACATCCCAATGAATTTCTACAAAAATACAAATCTTCAATTTTTAATTAAAATTTTGATAACTTTAGTCCAATAAATTAGATAATTTATTAGCAAGCAGAATTCAAATATTAAATTTTAAGAAATTATGTTAATTAGTTCCTTAGATGTGATAAGAAAGGTAAAATCGTGTAACATACGAACAAGAACCACTATTTGCAATTTTAGTTGCAATAAAATTTATTACTACTTGCATATACATATTTGCAACAAAACTCCACATTTGCATTCTTGAATTACGTATTTTGTTCAAAATGTCTTTTTTCTTTACAAAAAGGCTTGAGTTCATTTTTTTTTCACGAGTACAAATAATATAATTTGAAATATGAATGCTGAATTACTCGCAACGCTTTTTTTCTATTTTACTCAAAACTCATTAATCTGCAAATTTTAGCTGTACAATCCTCATATTCACTAAGAGCCGAGCTATAATATAATATTTCTGTTTTGGGAATTTTTGCTTCTCAATATAAAGTAACAACATTTTTTAGTGCTTTGGGATAAAACTTAAGATGGTTTGCCGTTCTTTTGGCAGAAGTGAAATATGTATTTCAATTTGAATGTAGGTTCTTTCTGATTGTTGAATTATAGGAAATCAAACGTTTCAAATTAAGCTTTTGGTATACTTTCTGATTTTGCAAAGAACATAGCCAACTGAGGTCATGTCACGTCAAGTAACGTAACATCTCTAGTTTCGACAGCTTCGAAGTCGTTATGGATACTTATCAGACAGAGTTTTTTCAGGCTGAGACAGAACTTTTATATTAGTTCCGACTTACTCTTCATTGCTTTCCTATTATATTATACTGCATTTTTAATAATTCAGTTCTGTTTTTATTCAGTACAATAATTCAGTACTAAATGTTTCCTTATATTTGACCACAAAGTGTTTGAAAATACAGTACTATTTTTGCAGTTTGTTTTATATAATTTTTGCAGTTTGTTTTCATTTTTAACATATACGCGCAACGACTTAGTTTTGATTTTACTTTAGGTCGGATTTATAGGATTTTAAAATAAGTTTTTTTCAAATTTTTTTGTTACTTTAGCATAAAATTTAATTTTATATTTCAGTGAACTGCAACTAATAAAATATTTGATTCTCTGGTTTCACTTTTGAAATTTTAAAAAACATATTATGACAATCTCAGAGCTTTTACAAATAAACAAACTTTTTTTTTTATGCCAATGTCAAATTTGTAGTTTTTGCAGCTGCGTCTTTTTGTTAGAAATGCAAAATATCTACTTGCCTGAGTTTTTTTTGCTAATAATTTCCCTTTCGAAAAATATAGACGCTTTAAGCAAATAGTTTCTGAAAGGGCTAGTAGAGTTAGGGTATTAGAGAAAAGGCTTAACGGCAATATTTTACTTGATTTTGTATTTTATGTACTCTCGGAATACTAAGCGTTTTTACTTTAAGAAAACCGAACTTTTCTTTTTTTTGTTGTAGCTTTCTTTAAAGGGATAATCTCGTACGAAAGTTTTTGAAATTTTAAAAATTTTTTTTACAGAATTTTGCCCAGATAGTTAAGCTTCAATTTGAGTTTTTAAATGTTAAAAAGTCCGTAATGGTAAATAAAATATAGCGCAAAAACAATTTCTATGCCATTACTTTAATAGGCCTTAATAAAATGTATAAACTCAAAAAATCATCAAAATTTTTGATTTTTATTAGTTTTAAGTGCTATTATTGTAAAAATAATAATATTAGTGTAGGCACAATACTTTTAATTGAACAGCTCACGTTGTATTAGTAATTTAGAAATGTTATCAGTATAATCTGTAAATCAGTTAGCGGAGCGTCCGCCTAGAAAGCGGTAGGCTCGAGTTCTATTCGAGGAGAAAAATTTTACCTTTAACTCTTTTCTTTGATTACGATTCAATTGAGTTAGCAAATAAAAAGTTTTTAGTCGGTCTAAATCAACTGAATTATACCCTGTGCCCTGAAAATCTAAGCATAAATTTTTTTCAAACATTTAGAATTAAATCTCACGGTTGTATGACATTTGCTCAAAAGTGTCCCACTATTAAACAAAAACTCCACGGATATGTCTGAACTGTAATTTGACTGACAAGTCTTCTGAATTTAACATTATTATTTTTTATACCCGTACGAACGTATGTTCGAAGGGTATCCTCAATTTGCCTCACCGTTTGTAACGCTAAGAAATAACGGTCCTAGATATAGACTCAAGTGTATGTTTTTGATCAGCGTCAAATTCTGACTTTGTCTGTCCGTCCGTCCGTCCCAACGATAACTCAAAAACTAATTGAGCTAAGTTCACCAAATTTTCACATATGATTTATTGTAATAAGTGCCAGAACACTATTTAAATTGGGCATCATCTGGGTACCGGTTCGGGTAGCTGCCATACAACCTCAAAAGTTATTTGCCTATATTTCAGAAACTGTTAAAGCTATGATATTGAAATTTCACACAAGCGAATAAATTAGTAGGGCCAATGTGTCTCATAAAAGTAGTTGAAATTACTTGGCTCCTTCTGGTACATGCCATACAACTTAAAAAATTATTTGGCTATATCTCAGAAACTATAAAAGCTATGGTATTGAAATTTCACACAAGCAAATATATTAATAAGGCCAATGTGCTAGATAAAATTCGTTAAAATTTCTTGGCTCTTTCTGGTAGCATTATACTTCAATAGTAGTTTGGCACACACTGTATTTTGAAAAACACATAGTACTGCAATTTTGGAATGTGGTAGTAATAACATGGTAATTCGGCAACTTAAAGTCCTAGTCTGTTCTATACTCAGTTATAGCATATTTATCAATTTTGTTTTCCTTATTTTTTCGTCGAATATTTAAGCTTTGAAGTATTTAAAATAATCTTCTTAATCTTTAAAAATATCTATTAAGTTCTGAAGTATTCAAAATAATCTTTTCGCTAATCTGCCATATAAGCGAATATATTAGCAGGGCCGATGTGTTTAATGAAATTCGTTAAAATTGTTTGGCTCTTTCTAGGAGCTGTCATACAACTTCAATAGGAGTTCGGCACACACAGTATTTTGAAAAACACAGTACTGGAATTTTGCATAAATTAACATGGCAATACGGCAACTT